GAACAAAACAACTTTTGGCAACATCACTTCTACAGTTGAGGCCCTGGAAAAAGATCTCCAACAAGCAGAACAGGAATTTGATGCTAATCCTACCCCAGACAATAGAGCTTTCATGAATGAAAAAAGGGCCAACCTAATTCATGCAACTAAGAATGAATTTTTATTTTGGAAGCAAAAAGCAGGCATCAAATGGCTCAAAGAGGGTGACTGTAACTCCTCTTTCTTTCATGCCAAAATCAAGGAAAAAAGAATCCATCAAAAAATCCATAGAATCAAAGATTCTAATGGCAACTGGTTGGAGAACACCAATGATATCCAACATGAGGCAACTAACTTCTTCAAGGCCCTCTTCTCCAATCACAATTGTGAGGGCATGAACAAGTTCCTGGACAATATCCCTCTCCTAGTGGATGACTCAATTAACACTACTCTTACCAAACTCCCTGCCGAGGAAGAAGTGAAAGAGGCAGTTTGGAGTCTTGATCCAGATAGCTCAGCTGGACCAGATGGGTTTACAGGAGACTTCTATAGACAAGGATGGGACACTATCAAGGAAGATGTGATCAAGGCTGTCCAGGAATTTTTCCTGGGAATCCCTATTCCCAAATCCATGGGGAAAACCACCATCATCCTTATTCCTAAAAAAGAAAACCCCTCCTCCTTTGATGAATATAGACCCATTTGCCTCTCCAATTTCATAGCAAAAATTAACACTAAAATTCTAGCTATGAGACTGGGACATTTCCTTCCTAACCTTATTTCTTCTGAACAAGGGGGGTTCATCAAAGGCAGACAGATTCATGATCAGATCCTGATTGCTCAAGAATTGATCCATGGAATTAACTACAAATCAAGAGGAGGAAATATTGCCATTAAGCTGGACATCTCCAAAGCCTTTGACAGAGTCTCTTGGGAATTTTTGGTCATGGTTCTTGAAAAGTTTGGATTCAGTGACAGATTTAATACCCTGATTCTTAACAACCTTAAATACACCTATCACTCTATCCTTATCAATGGCTACCCTAGCAAACCATTCCAACCCCAAAGAGGACTAAAGCAAGGTGACCCCTTATCTCCTCTCCTTTTTATCTTAGCTGCTGAAAGTTTCAGCAGAACCCTCAAAGTGGACACCAACAATGGGAATTTGAAAATCTACAACATGAGCAGACACCTACTACCCATATCCCATCTTGCTTTTGCTGATGACTTGATTCTTTTCAGTAATGGATCAATTAGCAATCTATAGAAACTGGCTAAATTCTTAAAAGATTATGAGGTGGCTACTGGACAAGCTATCAACTTACAAAAAAGTTTCTTTTATACACCTGACAAGACACCCACAGCCCAGGCCTCTAAGATGGGGAAAATCCTAAACATGCAGAGAGGTTTCTTTCCCTTTAAATACCTGGGCACTCAAATCCACAGAGGAATCAACAGGAAAAACTACTGTGGGGACATTCTTGAACACTTTGATCAGAAACTCCAAGGATGGACTAAGCACCTGCTTTCCCAAAGTGGAAGACTTATCCTAATCAAACATGTTTTGAGTTCCATTCCTCTACATATCCTTGGAACCACCAAACTCCCTAAAAGTGTCACTACATGCCTCAACAGGAAAATGGCCAATTTCCTCTGGGGTTCCAAAGGAGACAACCATAAATACCACTGGGCAACATGGAAGGACATCTGCAACCCTAAAGAGGAAGGAGGACTGGGCATTTATAATCTGGATACCCTTCAAGACTCCTATGGGTTGAAAATGTGGTGGAGTTACACTCACAAGAACTCCTTTTGGGCAAATTTTATCCACAAAAGATATCCCAAGGGATTCAATTCCCCACCCAAACCCACTGACTCCCCTATTTGGAAAAGGCTCCACCATATCAATGATACTGCCTATAACCTATTCCACCTAAACCAACACAACACCATTTGCTGGAATGAGGGCCACCCAGGCTTCAGTATAAAGAGAGCATACAATGCTTTGAGAGAGAAAAAACCCCCTGACAA